TGGGGGGGCCCCCCTCCTGGCCCCAGTGTGCTGCCACCAGCCTGGTGGTGGGGCTCCTTTCTGGGCCACCGGCGGGGCTTCTGTCTTGCTGCTGGTTTCCCTCTGGCTAGTAGGGCTCCGCGCTCTCAGCCAGCAGGACTCCCTGCTCCCAGCTATCGGGGCTCCGCACCCCCAACCCTACTCTGGCCGTCAGGGCTCCACGCTCCGGGCTGGGCTCCTCACCAGCCTTCGGCCTCGCTCCGGCCACTGGAGCTCCATGCCCCAGCTGACAGGACTCCCTGCCCCTAGCCGCCGGCCCACTGTTAATGGTGAGATTGAGAAATGTTGGGTTCTTTGTCGATGCCTTCTGCTTTCTTTTCTTTAGGGAACAACCATTCTAAGCTTTTCACCGGGAGGCTGTGAACCGGAAACGTGCTTAAAAACGATCCACAATATAAAGCTGAGACATCATGTGTCTCTGGCAACCCCGGTACTTTGCAGTTTGGATTAGGGTTCAAAAAAGAGCTAGATAGATTCATGGAGCCAGGATGGGCAGGAATGGTGTTCCCAGCCTCTGTTCACCAGAAGCTGAGAATGGGCAACAGGGGAGGGATCACTAGATTATTCCCTATTCCGTTCGTTTCCTCTGGGGCACCTGGCCTTGGCCACTGTGGGCAGACAGGATGCTGGGCTGGATGGACCACTGGTCTGACCCAGATCTGGCCGTGCTTATGGATTTTAAGTCAGGACTCTGGTTTGCAGATTTCAAGGTCAGAAGGAACCACTGTGATCAGCGAGGTGTCCGGTGGCACAGTAAAGATGACGACATTTATTAGGGCATTAGCTTTCGTGGGCTGGAGCCCACCTGTTTCTCTACGCTAGACGGGAAGAGTAAGGGAACTCAATGGGAGAAACTTCCAGTCACCCCCCCCCTTGCAGTGTAGGCCCCTCCGTAACTCAGCCTAAGGTACGTTGACTCCAGCTATGACTGTGCCATAGCTAGAGTTGGGTGCGTTAGGTCAGCTCTCTGTAGTACTGCAATTGGCTTGCTTATGGCTACAGCTAATGTGCCTTGTGCTTTGCCATAGAGCTTAAAACATCCTAGAATTGAGGAACTGGAAGGGACCTGAGAGTCTGGCCCCTGGCTCTTTGCCTGCTGTGAAGAGATGACCATTCATGACCTGGGGTGTGTCTCCACTGCAGCGTTTTTCTGGAAATACGGCTGTATTTCCGGAAAATCAATGTTTGCATCCACACTGCCAGTGAGTTCTTTGGATGGAAAATTCAAAGAACCGAGGGGTTTTTCCAATGGCAGTAAACCTCTTTCTACGAGGAAGAAGCCTTTTCCCAAAAAAGCTTTTTCGGAAAAAGGCACGTGTGGCTGCAGAAGAGGGAGTTCTTTCGGAAGATGAGGCCTCCAGAAACTAACACAAGTGCCCTGATGGTCACTCTGTCCACAGTCGTCACAGCTTATATGTGGGAAAGCGTCTATTCATGCATCTGACACAGTGGGTCTTTGCCCACGAAAGCTTACGCTCCAGTACATCCATTAGTCTGTAAGGCGCCACAGGACTTCTCGTTATTCATTCAGTGTGGACTTCTTTACTCTTCGAGCCCTGCACATGACCTCGGCGGTGGGCCAGCCGCACGGGATGCAAACAGGTTACCAGCCCCTCACGAGCCTCTCTCAGGGATGTTGTAGCTCCTGACTCCTCAGCATCACGCTTTGCTGGACTGTGTGGGCATCGGGCTGGCTGCAGACCCAGTTTCTCTCAGTGGTGCACCGCGAGGAGCTGATCGACTTGGCGCTGAGGTAGGCGCAGTCCCCTCCTCCTCTTATCAGCAGCCTGCAAGGAGAGAGCACGAAGCCGTCGTCAGCCCCACCAACAGGCCTTTCCTGCCACTGCCCGTCACTGAGGCAGGGGCTCCCCAAAGCTTTGTCAGCGTGACCCCCTTATAATGAATTATTTCCACCCAGGCAGCATGGAGGACGCCCGGCCTCCACACCGCACCTCGCGCCCGCTGGAGGCCCCCAGGATCAGCTTTGGAGCAGCTGTTCCGGGGTACGCAGGGTGCAGTGGGGGAGTATCCCGAAGAGGTGGGGGAGGGAGCAAAATAGGGTGAGGGAGGAAGAAGCAGAGTGGGGGGCTTTGAGGGAGAGAGAGGGTGGACTTGGGGCAGAGCAGGGATCTAGCATCCCCCTCCCCCTGGCTCAGATTAAGCCAGCTCCCATGATGCAGTATGGTTTCCAGTGCACTGAATGTACATGGAGGAAGGGTTGCCAGGTGTCCGGTACTTGCAGATTGTGTCAGGTAAAAAACCCGGAAAATACCAGAGATGTAAAATGTCCGGTATTTTCTGTTTTTCTCGGATGGAAGGTTGCTTGGGATATTCTTCCCCTGCCACCTCTGGTGGGGGTGGGAAGAGTGTGGGGATTTAAAGGCACAGTGACCTTTTTTTTTCTCAACAACTTTGGTGCCTTTTTTTTTTTTTTTTTGCTGATCAACCAATTTTTTCTCTGTCATGTTCTGTATTTTTTGTGAAACTATCTGGCAACCCTACAAAGAGGACGCCATTTTGCTCTCCAAAATAGCCTTCGCCGCACAGCGCAGCCTCATCCACAGGGTGTGAAGCGAGGTCCAGTGGCAAGGAGGATGCCATTTTGGAGAAAAAAATGGCGTCCTCTGAGCATCGTGTGAGGAGACAACCGTGTAAGGTGACGCTGAGTGGTGCAAAGCAGGCACCGCCCACTAACACAGAAATCCATGTTCTATCCCCAAGACGCCACATCCCCAGCTCTGGAGATGGATATCCTCATATCCCTTTTTTTTTCCAGATCCCACTTTTGGATCCACGCAGGGTGCTTAATACAGATTTCCCTCGCTCCCCCCTCACTACATACATGGAAAAATTCGGCTCTGTCTCAGTTCAGCACCACAGCCATCAAAACAGCCTGAAAAGAAGGACTCACGACGGGCTGTTGAAATTGGAGCCATTCACCCATGTCCACTGCTGATTCCCTCTCCAGAGGCCGATCCAATGCTCTAAGTCGCCGTTGTATCGCATCATGAACATCTGTAACCGAAAGAAAGGACAGAGTTTGATTCCACATGGGCTGCTCACAGGGATCTAGGCAGGTCAGAGTCATGTGGGTACAGAATTTTCCCTGAGATCTTTAAAGCCAAGGTTGCCATTTAAACCCAACATCCTGGGTTCCTCTTTAGCATCTTCACCTCAAGACCATCCCTTCAATGCTCCTCAGTCACAGCACCGTGCAAAAATTGCCCAGGGAATGTAGCAAGACGCTGGAGAACCCCAGAGAAAATCCCCAACACAGCCCTGCCTCATTCTGTGCACGATGAATGAGGCAGGGGCTCTGGGGGAAAACCTTGCAGGGAATCACAGGGGCACAGTGGCGGTGTTCCACCTTGGAAACACACAAGAGTCTCCGCAGGGGCTCTTGTGCATTTCAAAGAGGAAGTGCCATTATTGATTAATCAAATAGTTCATGGAAATCCCATCAACTATTCGATTCGTTGATTAATCTCATTCTAGCATCCCTAGTCTGTCTAACCTGCTCTTCAATATCTCCAGAGATGGAGACTCCACAACCTCCCTAGGCAACTTATTCCAGTGTTTAACCTCCCTGACAGGTAGAAAATTTTTCCTAATGTCCAACCTAAACCTCCCTTGCTGCAGTTTAAGCCCATTGCTTCTTGTCCTGTCCTCAGAGGCCAAGGAGAACAATTTTTCTCCCTCTTCTTCGTCACACCCCTTTAGGCATGGGAAAACTGCCAACATGTCCCCTTTCAGTCTCCATCCCAGGTGCCCACACTGGTCTATGGAAGGGCGTCTCCCATTTCCCCAGGTAGCAGAGCATCTGCCATTCATGAAGGAAGCCAGGTGGTTCTTTCTCTCTCCCATGGGAGGGCGGCCTTGTGTGCAGGTGTCAGTGGAGTGGTTTGTTTTGGTAGGGTTTGTTATTGGAGGTGCTCACGCTACGTGTGTGCGCGCAGGCGGCCATCTTGTCTGACACAACGGGTGTCCACGCTGCGTGTGTGTGTGCAGTCAGGGGCTGTGAGGGCTCAGATCCACTGTGGGCCATCACAGTGTGGAAAGCGTGGTCCCCTCACCCGTGGGTTACACTGATACCCGAGCAGCCAGCCCACAGACGTGCCCCTCGCTCGTGGAGCAGCAGGTGGGGGGGTCTGGACGGTGCTTAGCTCCCGGGAGAGTCCACTCTGCAGCCTAGGCCCAGGCGCCATGGAAACTCCAGCTCCCTCTCCAAGAGGCCTTGCTCTTAAATGGCGCCTGAGGAGCACAGATGCCAACCAGGGTCCTCATCCTGCAGCTTCAGGCTCTTTTAGACACCTGGGGCCAAAGCTGGACGGTCCTGAGCTCCCAGGCGAGTCCACTTGCAGTCTAGGCCCAGGCACCATGGAAACTCCAGCTCCCTCTCCGAGAGGCCTTGCTCTTAAATGGCGCCTGAGGAGCACAGATGCCAACCAGGGTCCTCATCCTGCAGCTTCAGGCTCTTTTAGACACCTGGGGCCAAAGCCCCGGAGTCCTTTGCAGACCTTGGCCATCACTCTGGCAAAGCCCCTGTCACCAACAGACTCTGCGTCTGTCTGTCTCTTCTCACCAGCTGCTGCTTGCTGTCAATCCCAGCCAGCGACGCGCCGAAGGCAGAGCAGTTCATCCGGCTGTCATTCCAGCTCAGTTCAGCCTCGGAGAAATAGTAGCACTTCCCTTGGTATCCGAGCCAGCCGTCCGGGCACCAGGGCATGAGCCGGGGCGGGGTTTTAGATACTAGCACTGAAAGAGAGTGAGAAACACATGGTTCAGAGTGAATTATTCTCTCCGCGCCCTGACACAAATGCCTCCCCCCCCGATGGAAATAAGCCAAGAGCTCTAAACTTCTTCATCCACATATCCGTTGGGATTAGGGCCCTACCAAATTCTCAGTCCATTTTCCTAAATTTCACAGTCATCACATTTTTAAAAAATCGAGTCTTTCTCGGATGAAGATATTGCAATCTTACATGTCACGGCGTTGCAGCCAAACATGTCAAAATATAAACACATAAAACCCTTAAGACTCAGCGTTTCACAAACTGGGGGACCCTGACACAAAAAGGCACCGCAAAGCTATTGCAGGGAGGTTACGATACAGCCGCCCTTATCTCTGCACTGCCTTCAGAGCTGGGCAGCCGGAGAGCAGTTGCTGCCAGCTGGGAGCCCAGCAGCACGGAAGTAAGGGTGAATTTGTTAGGCCCAAGTTACAATATGATCTTTACTCTAAGCAGCCACTGTTACCGCACGTGTAGGTCAAACCCAGAATCAATGTAACCAGCCTAAAGACAGGGCTATTTCATGCGGACGCCAAGGAGACAGCCTACACTGCGTCTCCCAGAGCACATCTATACAGCAATCAGGCACTCAAGGCTGGCCTGTATCAACTGATTCAGGTTCATGAGGCTTGGGCTGCAGGGTTATAACCAGCACTGAAGTCCTCTCTTTAAAGACACCTGATTTCCAAAGTCAATCTCATGATTTTGGAAGCGAGACTCGTGGCTTGTCCCAGGCTTCGGACTATCAGAAATGTAGCTACTTTTGATATTTATAAAACACTAGGACTATGTCTACACTGGCACCCTTTTCCGGAAATGCTTAAAACGCAACAGTTTTCCGTTATAAAAGCGCGTCTACATTGGCAGGATGCTTTTCCGGAAAAGCACTTTTTGTGGAAAAGCGTCCGTGGCCAATCTAGACGCGCTTTTCCGCAAAAAAGCCCCGATCGTCATTTTCGCGATCAGGGCTTTTTTTCAGAAAACAGTACTGTGCTGTCTACACTGGCCCTTTTCCGGAACAGTTTTCCAGAAAAAGGACTTTTGCCCTAATGGGAGCAGCATAGTATTTCCTTGAAAAGCGGCTGATTTCTTATAGTAGATCGTCAGTGCTTTTCCGGAAATTCAAGCAGCCAGTGTGTAGACAGCTGGCAAGTTATTCTGGAAAAGCGGCTGATTTCTTACAGTAGATCGTCATTGCTTTTCCGGAAATTCAAGCGGCCAGTATAGCTGGCAAGTTATTCCGGAAAAGCGGCTGATTTTCCGGAATAAGTGGCCAGTGTAGACACAGCCCAGGAGATTGACACCTCATTACTCGGATCCTTAACTTCATTCATTTTTTGTTTTCCTGTATTTAGATCTTTGCTCTGGGGTGGGGCTGGGGAGGAGGAGGGCAGCTTTCAGGCTGCTCTAGGGAGAGAGGACCACCCTGGCCCTCCCTCACCTCAGCAACGTGGGGCCAGGGAGAGGCAGAGCAAGTGCAGGGCCTGGGGCAGAAAGGGGGGGTTGTCTCAGGCTCTGCTAGGGATGGATTTGGCTCAGGGAGGTGGCGTTCCAACACGGACAGAAAAGTCTTGCAAAGGCTGAGTCTATATAACACTGGCACAGCCACACGGCCAGGCCAGGGGAGTCTCCGCGGGGCTTGGGAGGCAAAATTCCATTCACGTGCGTGTCCCACGGCACTGAGGGGGATGCTGTGGGTTGCCGTGGTAACTACCGCGCCAAGGGCCCGTTTTGTCATTGCAGACTATGGGGGGGAGCAGGCGGAAGATGCATTCCCCTCCTGCACAGCAAATACCCACACGGTGAGGGCCAGTGACTATGGGAATCTCTACATCACGGGGGCCCTGAAATTCTGCAGCCGGATGCGTGTCCCACGGCACTGAGGGGGATGCTGTGGGTTGCCGTGGTAACTACCGCGCCAAGGGCCCGTTTTGTCATTGCAGACTATGGGGGGGAGCAGGCGGAAGATGCATTCCCCTCCTGCACAGCAAATACCCACACGGTGAGGGCCAGTGACTATGGGAATCTCTACATCACGGGGGCCCTGAAATTCTGCAGCCGGACCCCTATAGTGACACAGTGTAGACACTTCCTATCTCCACAGAAGGGTTTTTCCCTGTCGCTGCAGTTAATCCCCCCATCCCAGAGGCCCTAGCTAGGTCAGCGGAAGGATCCTTCAGTTGATCCAGCCGTGTCTACATGAGGCATGTAAAATCCCATTTAATCAGTTAACTAGTTAACCATTATGTAGAGTGGTCCCTGTTCTGTGGCCAAGGGCTGCTTGGGACAGGACAGGCCCACGGTGCCTCACTGTGGGCAGGTGGGGAGCTGTTCCAGCCCAGCCGGGCCTGGCCAGGCTGCCCGTTCACCATAACCAGTGGGTGATCTTTGCTGGTTAACCAGTTAACCATTCACAGCCCGAATCTACACCGGGGTCGGCGTGACCTCACCACCTTGCTCTGAGCATGGGATTTTTCTCTGCCCTGAGCCATGCAATCAGCTAAATGTAAACGTATCACACACATACCATTCGCAGCCTGAGTCTACACCGGGGATCGGCGTGACCTAAGCATGGAATTTTTCTCTGCCCTGCGCGATGCAGCTGGCTTGGTGTAAACCAATCACACACACACCGGGATTAGCCACTCACCTGACAGAACTGCAATCGCAACAATGAGACCGACAAGTACAACTGCCAGTGCGACTGTACATGCCACCTGTTTCCAGAGCTGGCAGCCATGGCTGTTGCCTGAAAGAGAAAGTCATAGAATCATAGAATCATAGGACTGGAAGGGACCTCGAGAGGTCATCGAGTCCAGCCCCCCGCCCTCAAGGCAGGACCAAGCTCCGTCTACACCAGAGCTGGCAGCCATGGCTGTTGCCTGAAAGAGAAAGTCATAGAATCATAGAATCATAGGACTGGAAGGGACCTCGAGAGGTCATCGAGTCCAGCCCCCCGCCCTCAAGGCGGGACCAAGCTCCGTCTACACCATCCCTGACAGATGTCTATCTAACCTGTTCTTAAATATCTCCAGAGAGGGAGATTCCACCACCTCCCTTGGCAATTTATTCCAATATTTGACCACCCTGACAGTTAGGAATTTTTTCCTAATGTCCAATCTAAACCTCCCCTGCTGCACTTTAAGCCCATTACTCCTTGTCCTGTCCTCAGAAACCAAGAGGAACAAATTTTCTCCTTCCTCCTTGTGACACCCTTTTAGATATTTGAAAACCACTATCATGTCCCCCCTTAATCTTCTTTTTTCCAAACTAAACAAGCCCAGTTCATGAAGCCTGGCTTCATAGGTCATGTTCTCTAGACCTTTAATCATTCTTGTCGCTCTTCTCTGTACCCTTTCCAATTTCTCCACATCTTTCTTGAAATGTGGTGCCCAGAACTGGACACAGTACTCCAGCTGAGGCCTAACTAGTGCAGAGTAGAGCGGCAGAATGACTTCACGAGTTTTGCTTACAACACACCTGTTGATACAACCTAGAATCGTATTTGCTTTTTTTGCAACAGCATCACACTGTTGACTCATATTCAACTTGTGGTCCACTCTGACCCCTAGATCCCTTTGTAGATCCCTAGTCAGTGGCTACATCAGGGTCTGCGCTACCTGGGTGCCAGGAGCGCTTTGCTGTCTGATCTCAGATTATCGTTGGGCAAAAATTCTTCAGAGGATGTTTACAGAAAGAACCTCTAATTAAAAAAGAAAAACCCACAACCCAGAGCTGTTGCAGGTGGCTGAAGATCAGTTTTGGCTTTGTCTGCTAGATGGGGAAGTTCATGTCATCCCCCTTGCTTGGCTGCCCTGCTATAGATTCATTTCCGGCCCCCACACCCAGCTTCCACAGCCCTGTGAAAGAAACCCCAAACAAACCAAAAAACCACCATGCTTATCCCTACCGCACCCCTCCACAAATCTCATTCGGGGGTGCACTGGAGTCCCGTACAGAGAAAGAAGACCGTGGTGTAGATGTGACAGATGCTCATTCCTCTGCAGTGTCCCAAATATCCCAAATTTTGCGCAATGTCGTTATTCCTGAAAATAATTGGTGTAACGGCATTGCCAAGAGGGTTTTTGTTATGCGAGAAGGGGCAGTGTAGATATCCCACGCTTAGCCTTGGGGGTGCTGCAGGGCTGGTGGCCGGGAGACATCTAGTTGAGCACTTCCCAGCCAAACCCTGCCTCTGTCATCCCAGGCCTTCCCACACCCCAACTCTCTTCCCCAGCTCACTTTCCAAATTCTCTGCACCGTCCTGCCCCAGGTCACAACTCCCTCCCAGATCCTATAGCCTCTCCTGCACCCAAACACCCTCCCAGATCCTGCACCCCATTCTCCTGCTTCGACTCACAGCCCCCTCCTCCACACAAATGCCCTCTCAGACCTCACGTCGTCTCCTGTACCCCGGTCCCTTATCCCATGCACCCTTCTGTACCCAGACTGCACCCTAGACCCCACATCTCCTTCACAGGAAATTGCAGTCCTTGGTGACATCCAAAACCTTGAAGTGCCCCCCCACACCAAAAATAATTGCCCACCCTGATCTAGATAGTGCTGGGTCCTGCCATGAGGGCAGGGGTCTGGACTCAATGATATCTCAAGGTCCCTTCCAGTCCTAGTTCTATGGTAACATCTATGGACCACCATGCATTTTGAACAGCTGATGGATCCCTCTGGTGCATCTCGCCCAGCCCTGCCCTAAGGTGCTGAGGTCTCGTGGTGGTTTTTGCAGACACAGACGAACACGGCTCCCCTCTGAGACACCTGGCTATGCAGCCGTCACTTGCTAGAGGCAGGCCGGCTTCTTGAGACTCGCAGTGGGCTGGAGGGGAGGGATGTGTACCAGGGCCCCTGCTTTTCCATGCTCCTATCCCCACATGCATTCCCGGATTTTCTCCATAGGAAGGAGCCCTGCTGCCCTGGATTTTGGGGGTGCGGGCTGGCCTGGCATGCCAACTGCTAACCCTGGGTGGATTCACCCCAGTCCCCAGGCTAGCTGGGGCTGAGAACAGGTTTGGTTTCCCTGTATTTTTCACAGTTGTATTTAAGGCACCGCAAACACCTTAACACCTACTCTCGTACTCACAGGTGTTCCAATCACAGCAACTGACATGTCACCCAAACTCCTCCAACACCCGCACCGTGGTATTTGCAACACCCCATCTGCACCAAGCCGGAAACTGGCACCTTCTTTGCAAGCTCCGGCTCCCCCAGGCTGCAGCGAGTAGTGGGTGAAATTTACTAGCCTGGGCTCTGCACAGCAGCAGGCGGTGGGTGCGTGGGAGCGGGAGGGGTCAGAACAAGCGATCACATTGATCCCTTCTGGCCTGACAATCCACAAAGCCAGAGACCCCCATGGACGTGCTGAGAACCCGGCTTGTGTTACCTGGCCTGGCTCCCTCGGGGTGTCCAGGGATACTGGGATAAATGCCGGTGCGCAGTGTTTCCCTAGCAGGATCCATTCTTTCCTCTCGTCTCAGTGGGACGTGTGCGGGTCTCCTCGCTCTAACCAGCGCAGGCAGTCAGCTCTGGTCAGCCGGGGCCAGGAATCTCTCTAGATCTTCTCCAGCGATTAGCAGATCTGCAGTGCAAGAGGGAACAGCCAGAATGCCTAAAGGGCATGTTGTGTGGACCACCACTTGGAGGGTCACAGAGACATCCCTGTTGTCCACCTGGGACACGGGGCATGGGAAGTTCCCACTGGCAGATGACTGGATCCCACCTTCCCAGCTCTTAAAAGGGTTCAGAGACCCCTGGCAAGGTAGAAACTGCTCCCCATGGTGCTGCTGCCTCGAACTCCCGTTTCGCAAACAATAGACACACACACACAGAGACACACACACATTCTTTTCTCTCCCTTTCCCTCTCCCCCACTCCCGGGAACTCTCTTGTCTTCACCTGCCCCAGTGGGGTCCTGGTCCCAGCTGCCTCCCCCCAGACTGGGCAGCCCAGGCACAGACTCTCAGAGAGACACTCACACAGAGACACACACACAGACACACTCACACGGAGACACAGAGAGTCTCACACTCACACAGACACACTCACACAGAGAGACACACACAGACACAGATACACAGAGAGACACTCACACAGAGACACACACACAGACACACTCACACGGAGACACACACAGACACACAGAGAGTCTCACACTCACACAGACACACTCACACAGAGACACACACACAGACACACTCACACGGAGACACAGAGAGTCTCACACTCACACAGACACACTCACACAGAGACACACACAGAGACACTCTCACAACACACAGAAAGACACTCACTCACACACACACACTGACACTCACACGGAGACACACACAGAGAGTCTCACACTCACACAGACACACTCACACAGAGACACACAGACACTCTCACAACACACAGACACTCTCACACTCACACACTGACACACTCACACAGAGACACACACAGAGACACTCTCACAACACACAGAGAGATGGCCCCCTACAGCAGCAGCTGCTGCTCCCAGCTCTGGGGGCCCCGTGTTCATTCCTAGGTGTGATGGGCCCCTCACCCTGCACCTCTCGGTCCCCAGGGGCCTCCAGCCCTTCCCCAGGGATTGGGACCCCCACCACCATGTCCCTGGCTGGAGACCGACGCCTGCCCCACAGGCTGGCAGCCCCGCGCTTGCTGAGAGAGACCCTCACCCCAGAGCCCCTGGTCCTGCCGCCCCACAGGCTCCCTGCCTCAGCACAGGGGGGCCCCCCTCTTGGGGGGCAGGGGGGGGGGGCGTGCTGCCCCCGCCACCGAATTCCCAGGCAGGGGCTCAGGCAGCAGGATGCCGGTTAAACGGCTCCCGGCTCCCAATAGCTACCCTGGCAAAGGCCAGAGTCGGGAGCCCTTCAAATCGCCACGGCAACCCCGGGTTGGCATCCGGCAACGTGGCAGCACCAGGGCCGGGAGCCGCCAGCCCTTTGTCGTGTTAAGAACATAAGACCGGTCGTACTGGGTCAGACCAAAGGTCCATCTAGCCCAGTACCCTGTCTGCCGACAGTGGCCAGCA